CATTAATGTCTCGACGGAGTTCGAAGATGAGAACTATCGGCCAAGAAATGGTCAAGTTATCGTACGAAGTTTCAAAATTCATCAATTCATCCTTGAGGGGAGAGTAAAAAGATTTTCAAAAGAAAATTTTACTAAAAAGTCTCGACTATATATGCAACTCGACTTTCTTTGAAGAACGTACCGATAAGTCCTCATATACTGTACTACGGCGATGTCGTGCGTCCCCAAGTTTATGAGGGTATCCTTAGTTCCTCAAGCTTTATAATGAACAAATACCTTGAGGTGATTATATGCCATAATATAAAAGTACCCTTGAATGTTTGAGTTCTAAACTAAGAGAGTTTCTGTAAAACCCATGCTCGTACGCACTACAAGATGTTTCTCGAGCCCTGTAAATGCGCATTTTTTCCTGCAGTATTTGGTAAGGAGTCAGTACCGCACCGATAGTAACTTAGATTAACGAAGAGTTTTTTCACCGGAGTTGCTCTATGTGTATTTAAACTTGTTTAGGATGTTGAGAAAGTGAGTGCACTTCTATAATCAGTCGGATCGTCCGGTCGTCGGACTGAGCATCCGTTTACTTGATAACGCTCGAATGAAGAGTTCAATCGATGCGAAGTTTTCTATACAATATAGTTTTATGAAAATATTCGTTGGATTGGAATAGGAGCAGGGGGAAAAGCGTTACTTCAATACTCTGCCTTTACTCCAGCTTACTGCACTTGCATTCCAGTTGACTCCATTCTATTCCAAAAATTTCTATGAAGTATTGGAATAGCGTATTTTCCCCCTTGAAGAAAAGTCTAATTGGCTGAGTATTTGGTGAGTGATTGCAAAGTAACTGATGTTTCTCGTAGGATTTCGCTATATTTTCTCATACACTTTTCGCAGTACACATAAATTTCGAATAAAATCCAAAGTTTCCGTATTTTTATGATATATTGAATCGATGCTTACCTGATGGTAAACGAGTGCCCGAAATAACCATCATGGTAACCGCATCTACAGCAGTTTCTAAACTGCTGTTTTGATTTATACCATTAGTAAATAATTGGCATTTAGAAATCGATTGACGAAAGCCTATAGCTATGCATTGAGTTTGTTGTAAACAAGTAATTTGACATTGAAAAATATCGGATGCAGCAACAGTAGCATGGGGTAAACAGGATGTTGTAGCACATTGAAATTGCCATCCATCCATAATAGTCATTTGAACTGAATTGATATTTTGTGTAAGAACTAGATCAAAAATAATCATCGAAAATAATGCAAATATTCTTGTCCAAATCATAATTTTGATCACACTTCAACTTGTCTGAGCAAACCAATAGTACACAGTTAAAAATGAAAATGAAAGCATTTTCTAGTGACAAAGGTACTTTTTATATATATTTTTTCTTTCTTTCTCTTTCACTTAATATATAGCTTTTTACTCGCTTCGTCAATGAGCTGTGGCAATGGTAGTCATTCTTTTTCAGACGTTGTTCATTAACAAAGAGAAGTGTACCTAGTGAAAAGTATTCCATTAGCTTTTAAATATTCAGAAACAAGCTAATTGTGAAGATAGATTGCTTTTCTTTGATTGATGCACAGTGTGAGTGAAGTTATACGTTTTGTTATCGTTGATTGTTTGAACAAAAATAAACGCTCAAGTAAACAGATAAACACCAAACATTATCTCTTTTTATAAGATGAATATTTTATTTGTTCGATGCACAAACACATCTATGTTAAATGATGACGCTGCTTTAGTAATGGATGACTTGTTCAATTGATTATTTTCATCTCTATCGGCAACTCTATGTTACCTACATCATTTTGAATTGTAGTACTGATATTTGTACACTTCTAAAGCAAGAACTCTGATAATTATTAATTTTCTTTCAATTTCTGTTNAGGGTATTTTTTATATTATGGCATATAATCACCTCAAGGTATTTGTTCATTATAAAGCTTGAGGAACTAAGGATACCCTCATAAACTTGGGGACGCACGACATCGTCGTAGTACAGTATATGAGGACTTATCGGTACGTTCTTCAAAGAAAGTCGAGTTGCATATATAGTCGAGACTTTTTAGTAAAATTTTTTTTGAAAATCTTTTTACTCTCCCCTCAATGATGAAATTGATAACGAGGTCGATGTTGTAGTCGATTTTGCTGCGAGACAAATAAATAAATTAGATGAAAGACACTAAATAGCGAAGTATGTCTAAAACTTGTTTATTCTATCTACCTGAGATAGGTCCAACTCGGAGCCAGTTATAGTGATTTCAGAAGTATTTTTGGTACTATTTCTCCTCTGTGCACGCTAAGTTTACTCGTAGTATGAGCGTAAATTAATTTTATGCATAATATTCAGAATCTTGCGAGGATGATGTGGATATGAGGGAGCTGATCAATATATTTTCTTTACTCACAATCTCGTCCTCATCATTATCTCATTTCATGCACGGTCTTAGCGCATTCATTAAGATTCATTATGTTTTCCAGTACTTAGAATGAAGCAAAATTGCTCATAGAACCACATAGGACTGTTTGGAGTCTTCATAAATTAAAATATGCGGTTAATAAAACAACTTTCTAGTTTATAGAGTTTGTGTACTCAAAAAAGTGAATATACTTCTAAAGCCGGTCAGTGTGTCTAGCCGTTAATCCGATAACTCTACCAACACATACAATTGAGCCCAAATTTTTGTGCGCTGGATTGTCTCATTAATGTCTCGACGGAGTTCGAAGATGAGAACTATCGGCCAAGAAATGGTCAAGTTATCGTACGAAGTTTCAAAATTCATCAATTCATCCTTGAGGGGAGAGTAAAAAGATTTTCAAAAAAAATTTTACTAAAAAGTCTCGACTATATATGCAACTCGACTTTCTTTGAAGAACGTACCGATAAGTCCTCATATACTGTACTACGACGATGTCGTGCGTCCCCAAGTTTATGAGGGTATCCTTAGTTCCTCAAGCTTTATAATGAACAAATACCTTGAGGTGATTATATGCCATAATATAAAAAATACCCTTGAATGTTTGAGTTCTAAACTAAGAGAGTTTCTGTAAAACCCATGCTCGTACGCACTACAAGATGTTTCTCGAGCCCTGTAAATGCGCATTTTTTCCTGCAGTATATGGTAAGGAGTCAGTACCGCACCGGCAGTAACTTAGATTAACGAAGAGTTTTTTCACCGGAGTTGCTCTATGTGTATTTAAACTTGTTTAGGATGTTGAGAAAGTGAGTGTACTTCTATAATCAGTCGGATCGTCCGGTCGTCGGACTGAGCATCCGTTTACTTGATAACGCTCGAATGAAGAGTTCAATCGATGCGAAGTTTTCTATACAATATAGTTTTATGAAAATATTCGTTGGATTGGAATAGGAGCAGGGGGAAAAGCGTTACTTCAATACTCTGTCTTTACTCCAGCTTACTACACTTGCATTCCAGTTGACTCCATTCTATTCCAAAAATTTCTATGAAGTATTGGAATAGCGTATTTTCCCCCTTGAAGAAAAGTCTAATTGGCTGAGTGTTTGGTGAGTGATTGCAAAGTGACTGAGGTTTCTCGTAGGATTTCGCTATATTTTCTCATACACTTTTCGCAGTACACATAAATTTCGAATAGAATCCAAAGTTTCCGTATTTTTATGATATATTGAATCGATGCTTACCTGATGGTAAACGAGTGCCAGGAATAACCATCATGGTAACCGCATCTACAGCAGTTTCTAAACTGCTGTTTTGATTTATATCATTAGTAAATAATTGGCATTTAGAAATCGATTGACGAAAGCCTATAGCTATGCATTGAGTTTGTTGTAAACAAGTAATTTGACATTGAAAAATATCGGATGCAGTAACAGTAGCATGGGGTAAACAGGATGTTGTAGCACATTGAAATTGCCATCCATCCATAATAGTCATTTGAACTGAATTGATATTTTGTGTAAGAACTAGATCAAAAATAATCATCGAAAATAATGCAAATATTCTTGTCCAAATCATAATTTTGATCACACTTCAACTTGTCTGAGCATATCAATAGTACACAGTAAAAAATGAAAATGAAAGCTTTTTCTAGTGACAAAGGTACTTTTTATATATATTTTTTCTTTCTTTCTCTTTCACTTAATATATAGCTTTTTACTCGCTTCGCCAATGAGCTGTGGCAATGGTAGTCATTCTTTTTCAGACGTTGTTCATTAACAAAGAGAATTGTACCTAGTGAAAAGTATTCCATTAGCTTTTAAATATTCTGAAACAAGCTAATTGTGAAGATAGATTGCTTTTCTTTGATTGATGCACAGTGTGAGTGAAGTTATACGTTTTGTTATCGTTGATTGTTTGAACAAAAATAAACGATCAACTAAACAGATAAATACCAAACATTATCTCTTTTTATAAGATGAATATTTTATTTGTTCGATGCACAAACACATCTATGTTAAATGATGACGCTGCTTTAGTAATCAATGGCTTGTTCAATTAATTATTTTCATCTCTATCGGCAACTCTATGTTACCTACATCATTTTGAATTGTAGTACTGATATTTGTACACTTCTAAAGCAAGAACTCTGATAATTATTAATTTTCTTTCAATTTCTGTTTCCATTGTTTCATAATGAAAATAGTTATTTCATCGATTAATAAATTCAAATTTACTTATTGAAATTCAGTGTATTTTGTACAGATATACCAAGAAACATATCTAATGGCCATCTGTTATCTTTTCACTTCATATAATTTGCTTCGAATTGATAATGGCAAGTTTGAGTAAGCAATGGAGAATAGCATCCAATTTACAGAAAAGATAATTGTGAATTGAATGCAATTTTTTTCAATTATCAATCTTTTTGTGTATTCGAAACAGAATTTGATTTAAGGTGCAGAATAAGACAACATATTTTTACTTTTATATTGCTTCAATGAATATACACAAATAAATGAAATAAGTTTTAAGCGATGACAATGAAATGAGAGAGAGACAGAAAGACGGAAGTTCCTTTTTTCTTTCAACCTCTAAAATACTAGTAATATTAAAAAATACAATATCATAAAAACGGTTGTCATTATTGTGACGAGTTTCTTCGTTCACTAATCCGAGAGAAGAAGGTGCTGATGAGAGATGAGTTTATTTCTTATCCGAAATCAAGCACACTCTAGTGTACAATCCTCAGTTCTTATATAGTCCTCGGAATGAACGGTATCATGCCATATATAATCCACTGAAAGGTTAGTCCAGGTAAAAGTACAAAGGTGAGTACCGAGTATATGGCTCGATATGCTCGAGGTGTAGAAACTAAATGCAAAAAGAGTGAGTACAAAAGTNCTGTAACGGTCAGTGTATATCTATAGTTCACCTATGCGACCTGCGCATAGATATTGACCTTGCCTTTTCTTTGTTATGTTATGCGCAATATTTCCTATATAAGTTGTGTTCAATAAAGAAACGACACGATTATGAGTGTGTAGATGACACAATACACCATCATGTCGAAGGACATAGACAATCACTCTCATATTTCGTCACATACACGAAAAAAGGAAATAAGAAAACACGATAAGAAATATATTCTACAATGAGAGAAAAGAAACAATTACTACAATAATTATTAAGATAAACGTAAAGAAAGAGGTAAAAATTTTGTCATGTTCATCTAGACGCTTCAATTCAGCGTCCTGAGCAAGAGAAGGTCGAACTTGTAAACAAGTTACAAATGTTTTTCTGAAAATCGGTATCCTTGGTTTGAAAATTTTTTTTTAATTCTGAAAAAAGTAACATCAGATTTGTCCTCTTCGACCCCAAGATCTCTTCGGAAAATTTTTATTGAAAAAAGCTGTTTTTTACAAAAAAGTCGCCCTTTGCGTAAGAAAATCGATCTATGTAAACATTTGAAAAAATAACGCCAGATTCGCATTTATCGACCCAAAAAACTCCTTAGTCAAATTTTATAAAGAAACTTTTTTTCGAAAAAACGGCCCTTTATTTAAAAAATTTTTCTGCAAAATTTAAAAAAAACTAACATCAGATTTAAATTCCCTGACCTCAAAACCTTTTCGTCGAGTTTTATCGATAACAGTAATTTTAATACTAGTTTAGTAGTAAATTAGTGGCAATTACTCATCAGTAAAAAATAACATCAGATTCGAAGTCTCCGCATCGAAATACTTCTGGAAGTGTCGTTTCGGAAAAATCGATTTTCGATGTTTTTTGACTCTGCGGACATAGAAGCAATCAAGCAGGCAAACAATTTATGTTTCTAAGACTCTTCTCTACGAGAAAGAGAACAGTCCTATTGCACGAATGTGAATTAGATTCAATGAACTCGAAGAAACCTTGTCTTATTTTCGTTGTAAACTTATAAAGAAGTTTTATTTGAATGTAAAAGTTCTTATTTGACTTGATTGAGACGTCAAAGTACACTGAACGGTTGAATGATCAGTTGGCTTAAATTTATGCATACTACGAATGCCTTGTATTGTACCTAAACCAAAAGCAACGTAAGAGAATAAAGTCAAAAGTCTTCTTACCTGTTGCTCGAAGTTTTTCGGTTCTAGATTCCAAGTAAGTTTTCTTAACTTTTTCTACTTCGTCCGAGTCAAGATAGAAGATATTAACAGGAGGATTATCTTTGTCGGATCTTTTTGCTGTTTCAAGTTGTTGTTTTTTTCAAAACTCGTAAAAATCCTTTGCGTTTGACATGAGAATGTTCTTGGAAAGTGTATCACGTCTGACAGTAGACTTTAGCACTGCACCAATTCCATCTCCAGCACTTTTATCATGGCCCGTAGCTGTGAACATCCAAGAAACATCCAAACCAAAATCGCGCTTGTGATAAATCAGGTTCAAGATACTAGCGTTATTCTTAAAATGAGCAGGTGCTCCATCACTAAACGAAAGAAGAGAGATAACATAGCACGTAAAGCACATCAAAAATAGGTTTTACCTCACATAATTGATCTTTGTTACCAATGGAAAGTTTTCCTTAATAAATTCAACGAGAATTTTTTGTGCACAGTGCACGAATGCTGTTGTATGTTCCATCTATTTGCTTATAATTGCTAAATTTGTGTGCTCATCTCCAATGGTAAGATGGATTGTAAATAAGCTGACTTGGTGCTAACTAAAGAATCCTTGTTGAACTTCACGCTGACGTATCAATGTGTAATTCATTGAGAAATCTATCTGCACCGTCACAAACGAATCGTTCTTCGATGAACAATTATTGCATTTACCACTGAAGCACTTTTCATTAGAGCCTGGGCACACCATTTGATTAATTAGATCTTTCATATTAATCTTATTGGTTGCTGATAAAGCACCTATACTAGCACATTTTTGATAGTCGTTGTTCCAAGCCTATAATGAAACTACTTAAAGTTTGAATCAACATACAAATGGCACGAACCTTGAAGAACAAGTCAATGTTCTCATGAATTATACAGATACCCGTATCATGTCGTGTCGCCGTTTTTACTTCTCGTGGTCGAAGGGCATTGAAAGTTGATCGCGCAACAAGTCCAGGATGTTGTTCATTGAATGTTCGATACGCGTCCGAGGCAGTCATTTCTAAAAAGCGAACTGCTGCTGATTGGCTATTGATTTTGATCGTGTCTTTCGAATTGGATGAGGTTCGACTGATACCATCTTCACGAGAAGACTTGACCACTTTATCAATCGTTGGGTCAGACAAAGCACGATTAGTTCCTCGCAGACACTGTGGATAAGCGAGTATTCCACTGGTTTTTTCGGAAAACAAGCGATCGTCGAGCCTGATTTGGTTTTGACTGAAACCTAATAAATAGAAAGAATACGGAGATATTGAACAGGAAGAGAATAGAATACGCACCATTTTGCTATTTTTTGTTGACCCTAATCTTTAGGAACAATTGTCATCACGCGGACCCTTTCATCAGCATCACTATCATCATATAACTTTTTTAAATCACTCAAAAGTTCGTTCGATTCTTGTATTGTTAGATCATTAGGA